GCTTTCCTCATTCGGTTACAAATTAACGACAAAATGCGCTAAATACCTAGACGCTTGACCAAATAAGTTCACCCATAACTACCAAGGTTCCCGCCACTAATTTTATTTCAACTTAACAGCCTACCGTACAACGATTGTACTAAGTAACTGATGTATCTACCGCGTAAAAGGCTTTTGACGTGCCTGATTGACATCTTTTTCCCTCTTTATATATTAAATTTCTTTCTCCTAGACAAAAGAAAGTTGAAGGAAAGTAACACAAAATTATACTTTGAACTCAACAAAAGAATTCAACTCCCTAAATTATCCTTACTTCCTCGACAAAATGGCAACAGCTCAAATCACCCACTCACCAGGCAAAAAGAAACTACAAGAGCAACAAGCTTCTACATAATTCACTTACAGAAGCAAAAGTGAGCAACCATCCAAGCCTCTTATCGCCTTCAGAGAAAAGATCAAACCCAAGCTTTGATTCGATCTCCTCCTCGGCGGACCGGATTATCCTCTGCTTCTTCGACCTACTGTTGTCTGCACGGCCTCGCCTTCGGCTATCGACGCTCATTATATTGCCGGTCTTCAACACACGGCGAAGGAGCACAGCACAACAAAAATGCTTCAGATGAACAGAATGCGAAAAGAGTAACTTAAGAGGGAGAGTTTTCAGAAACAGTGCTTCCGACGAAAAGGGCCGCGACACATCACTTAGCCGGTAGAAGATTTTCCCGCGCAAATATACGCCTTTTTATCCTCCAACGAAAAGGCCCCTGCATCGCGCCTTTTAGTGGGCCGAAATTGGGCCTCATTATAGACCGCGTAATTTACAGTTTTCGGCCCAAATACGGAGGGCATTTTCGTCCTTTGACAATAAACAAGTTAAATGGAAAAATACAATTATAATTTCATTTTGGTTTCATTTTCACTTTTTATTAATTAACAGAAAGCTAAGATGACGTTTTTTTAATTTAAAAAATAATAATTTTTTCAATTTTTTAATATATAAAAATAACAATTTTTTTTCTTTTTTTCTTTTTTTCTTTCTCATAATTAAATTACGATGTGAAATTCCAGCCCGTACCCTTAAACTAAAATGACGTATAAGGGCCGAAAACGGCAAAATTGCGTAAGGCCCATAAACCATTTTCGGCCCACGAAAAAGGCCCGAAAAAGAAAAACCCTAATTGTATAAAGAGTCGCGTCACCATAGTTCGCGTTCCATTCTGTCTTCATCTTGGTTGCAGCTTCTGTTTCGAGCTTCTCAAGTACTCTTTCTTGTTCCATTTTTTTTTCACTGATTATTTTCTTCATGTTCTCCTCGTTTATGGTGTCTAATATTTGATGTTGTTGAAGCAGAGATGAAGGTGGTCGCTGCATATCTGTTGGCCGTACTCGGTGGCAACACCAGCCCCGGACTTGATGATGTGAAGTATATTCTTAATTCAGGTTCTTCTTTTACAATCTTTCTTTTAGTTAAAAGTTTAAGTTACTATACTAGTGTTGTTGCTGTTTAAGATAGATTAATATTTTAGGGTTTGGGAATGATTGGTTTTCGTTCAATCCAAAAGATTAGGGTAGGCTGGAAATGAAGTGAAATCTTCAATTGACTGACCTGGAACGATTAGTGCTCTTAGTGAATTTGTGTTGAGATTCCTTGCGGGGTTTTGTTTACAGTCGGGGCCGAGGTCGATGAGAACAGGATTAACTCGCTATTAACCCAAGTGAAAGGAAAAGATATCACCGAGTTGATAACTTCCGGACGGGAGAAATTGGCGTCAGTGCCGTCTGGTGGCGGGGCAGTCGCCGTCGCCGCCACTGCCGGTGGTGCCGCTGGTGGTGGTGCAGCACCAGCCGCAGCCGAGAAGAAAGAGGAGAAGGTCGAGGAGAAAGAAGAATCCGACGATGTAAGTTCTTAACCGGTTATTCTAAGGGTTGCACATTTTCTTTTTTATATGGTAATTGCTTGGTCTATATTAATAATGACACCTAAATTTTATGTTCGTATGTTGTTCTATCTTTTTGCAGGACATGGGTTTCAGCCTCTTTGATTAAGCAACTCTTTAGTTGACGTTATCAGTTAGTGCTTTAGTTTACTTTCGTTCAAGCTTCCGAGCTGTGTAGCTTGGTAGGTGTTTTTCACTTTAACTTCATTAATACTCACAAATTTTGATAGATGAAAGTGCAATTTTCAGTTTGAACTTTTCAGCGATTACAGTCATTTGACTTGCGTGATTTATGATTCCCGTCTCATTTCAATATGCATGATTAATTTAGAGTATGCTAACTCTCACACTGTTTCTATTGTTTCACTCTATTTGATGCGTGTGCTATTTGCACTTAGAAAATATGCACCACTTTTTATCTGCTGTCAATCCTAGGCCTATATGCCTTCTTGCCTTCTAATATATGCATCATGCCAGGATCAATTGATTTTAGGATCTTAATGGATTGTGCATTTGGTTTGCACTTTTCATGACATTTGAAAGATTGGGTTATCATACCAACATTCTGGTCTCTGGTCTCTGGTCTCTGGTCTCGATAAATTTAGTTTCTATACTTTCAGTAAATCTTATCTAGTCTCATCTTATTCTTTTCAGAAATCAGTTACTCTCTTTTGGGTGTTTTGTTTTTCATGAAGGGTCTCTTCTCTCGGACAGTAGAACCACTAATTTTGTACATTTGAAAGTTTAAAGGAACAAAATAGAATTGATCATTATTTGGTTTTAGGGACCTAAATAGATTGTTGTTTATTCGATAAGTTATTTCCCGATGTCGTATATCTATATTATGGGAAGTATTATGTCACCCTTTTGTCTTTTGCTGCTGCCTTCTTCCGTTTTCCTTCCTTATTCCTTATTCCTTTCCATCTTTGACTTTACGAGTCTTCCTTCTTCCTTACCATCTTTGACTAAATGAAACGTTCTTGCTGGTATGATCATTTATGTCCTATAACATGAAAACACTTCTAATATGAACTTCCTGTTTTGATTATTTAGTACTTTTAAATTTATGTTTTTTATTATGATGTTACTTGAGCTGTAGACGTTCATGGGGGAATAATCTACAAATCATGTATTTATATTGGATGTAGTCTTTTCGGTCTTCTGAGTTCCAACACTAGAATCTAATATTGGTTTAGAGATAATGAGATATCATGAGAAATATAAATAAATCAATTCGGCGATTAATATTTTATTTTGTAGTTTACATTGAAGTTATATCAATATGGTATTTCCAAAAGTTTGAGATTTGAATGAAAAAAGTTCCACATTATTGTTCTATGCTAAATGCCACATTATTGGTTGTTTTGGATTGCGTTTGGAAGGTTGAAAGCAAATATGAGATAATCTAAACTATTTAGGGTTTTTGTTAAAACAAATCATTTATTGTTTTGTCATGACTCCCTCCTCAATTTACATCTGCATTTAGATTTATCTTCCCCAATGCTATACAAGTTTCAGATTTAGATTTTCGTATTTATTTAATTTTTCTCACATTTATTTTCTCTACTCTTGTCAAATATAATTTAAATTAAACAAAAATTTATACAATTTATATCAGATAAATTTTAAAATGATTACCTTATGATAAATTGTTAATTAAATAATGAAATATAATTGGAATAGTAAATACTATGATTAAATAGCAGCATAGTATTAATTTATCAAAAATTAAAATTAAATTTATCAAACAATAGTTTATTTTATCTCATAATTGATTTTCTAAAAGCACATTTGTAAGCCATTACTTTGTAGCTCCAAACAAATAGTTTATTTACAAGTTCTCAAAGAGAACCTAGCTTTTAGGACGTTAGCCCCATAAAAAATTTCACTGAAGTTTTTTTTTGCTTTGTGAAATCACTATTTTTTACGCTACAATCAAATCTCTAGTTCATGAATCCATAATTATCCTATACACAAGTTATCTTTAATCTAGCTTAATAAATAGATCATAAATTATCATTTTACAAGTAGATGATTCAATCTTGCATCCATGGAAGAAAAGAAGCTGGATAACAATGTGATACATAAATTTATCCAATAAATGTTTCCTATTCTATGTACTTAACCATGCAAAGAAAAAGCCTATAGGACCATCGAATCAATGAAAACGGGACCATAGGCTCTGCCGGAAAAGGACTTAAAGCAGATCATAAGATAATTTCTTAGATACTCCAATCACTCCTTATCACTTACCGGCAACTGTCCTGTCCATCCCATCGAGACCCACAAGCCAAACACATGATGCCAAATGTCGCCTAATTTGAACAACACTTCCAATTGTTGAGACGAAAAAATTCTATAGGTCTGGGCTATTTGATTCTCCGTTTGGGTCTGCAAGGCTTGTCCGCATGTCTCCATGTCATTTTCCAACACTTGAAGAGAGAGAAAGCTAAAGAGAGTCTGTTCACAAGTTTCTACCTTTTTTGCCTTCCTTTCAATTTGATACTTCTGCCGTTTGTTTAAAGTAGGCTGAGAAAAGATGGATGGAGAAAAATGTTAGCAGAATTGCCAAAACTGAGAGACATGCAGCCATTTGAGACAAATGGAAACAGACGTGTTGAAGAAATAAAATAGGAAAAAAAGCAAATCAAAGCAGACGCATTACAAAGCTGCAGGAAAACGACTGCTCATTGCTCCAAACCACTAGTGTGTGTGTGTGTGTGTGTCTCGACGAACCCCACATTTTTTCACAAAACAAGGCATGTGATCTTGTGAGCGACCCCCGCATGCAAACACACAAAATAAATAATACCTATTTCATTCATAATCATGATCCATCAGCCATCGCCAGCTACTTTGATATCCATCAGCCATACCTCATTGACGACACCAAGACAGGAGTAGACGCCACAACACCACAGGCGGCTTCTGCAGGCAAAAACAGATGTGATGAATCAGTGTGGTTCAGAATGAATGACATTACGAAATAGTATAACAAAGATTAAGATTTTAAGTGTCTCAGCACCAACTATCAAACACACTTTGTCGGAGTAGATGCATCAAGATCAAAGCTATATCACGATTCTCACAATTGCATGATAAAATGCTATTATTTTGCTCAGTTGAGCTATAACTTTTGTAGTTGAAACTAAAGAAGACATTGCAAGATCTAGTACAACTATTATAACAGCTAAATCTCAACCAGCTAGCTATGTGGCTGAGGTTCTCTCTCTTGAGTCATGGCTTAGAACTATATTTCAATTAAGGATGCTTTATTAATATATGCACATTGTAAGATTTACAAAGGCCCCATGTGCTCGCAGAATAAGCCGTGGAAGATTGGGCGACTGTCGCTGGCTGATAATAACCAGTCCAAAAATAATACCAATCTTGCTCAATTTAGCCATTAATAATAGTCCACTGGGGCCTCTGGGCAGCTTTCATCCGTTGCAGTTTCTCTACTAAATGGTGGAGGAATGAATGGTGGCGACGTACATCTCAGTAATGCCCAATTTACCCCTTGGAAAAATGAGTGGTGCTTGATCGCCGACGACCCTGTTGTTGACCCCAGCCGCCTTGCCGGATCTTTGACCAGTAATTGCGATATGAGGTCCTTCGCCGCCGTCGGCACCACTGGATCTTTAGGAAACTCAAGGGCTCTGGCCACTATGTTGGCCAAGGTGAGCTCATTGTCCATGCCTCTAAAGGGTGTCACTCCATAAAACAACTCAAACACAAACACCCCTAAAGTCCACCAATCCACTGCACTTCCATGGCCCTCACCAGAGACAATCTCTGGCGCCAAATACTCGTGGGTGCCAACAAACGACATGGACCGGACGTCAACCGGCTCAGCAACAAACTCAGGTCCATTGCTGTGGCTAGACTTCTTCTTGCGCTTGCGTTTCGGGTTGAAACACGACATCGCCGGAACGATGCAGTTTGGAAGTATGCAGGAGGATGATGTGAAAGGAGGGGCCTCAATTTGGCAGTTCTTTGGCCGGGCGGTGCCATTTGTTGCATTTTTGGCAGTGATAACCTGTGGGGTCGCTGTTGAATCCTCACACTTCAAGGAGAGATCAAAATCAGTGAGCATGATATGGCCATCCGATCGTACCAGCACATTTTCCGGCTTCAAATCACGGTAAACAATCCCCATCATGTGAAGGTACTCAATAGCAACTACTATCTCTGATGCATAGAATCTACAAAGCAAACAACAAATGCCTTTCAAAATTATACGAAACACTTAACTATAGGGTGATGAGACCTGACACAAAGTCAATAGCAGAGAGAAATAAACAAGACATCAAAACCAAGCATGTCTGAGAAAAGGGCTGTTGCTATTGGCCGTATATACAGAACATAAATAGCAAAAGAACAAGAGAGAAACAACGAAATGTCTTTAGACTTTTAGCCTGTGGGCCAACCTCATAGCTATATCAATACTATTATTTCCCTCCTTTTCATTGGGTTGCCTGTATATATGTCTCATCTCCTTGGCCTGGCCACTTGTCGCATATTGAGGATATTGACAAATAATATGCATTCACATTTATAATCCTCCCATTATTGTGCTAACGTGGGAGGCCTCGGATTCTTGCATTATCACATGGTCATTAACTTCTTACACAACACTTCGAAGATTTGACAAAAACATGAGTAATTTAAATCCAGCAAAAGCACGCAGAACCAGGAAATTTGGAATTCTAATTCCTTTTGGAGATCTAAAAATCTTTGAGAAAGGACAATGTGGTGAGCCCCTCGCTGATGCTAAAGAGAAACCACTAGAATTGTTTATATTATATGCCAATTTGACATTTTGGCAATATAAACTTCTAATGTATGTATTTATTTAGTACCTGTATTGGACCCTACACCATCACTACCCCCACACCCCGCAGCCTCCCCAATAAAATATATATAAACAAAACAGAACTACTTGTTCAAGCAACAGAGAGAGAGACAGAGAGAGAGAGAGAAAACTCTGTTTGCAGTAATGGTAATAAATGGACAAAAAAGCATGCTTTCTTGCCAGAACTTTTACACTATGATTCACTTATGTTGTACCCTTTACTCTACTTACTAGTTTGGAGGCAATCCTTTTGTGCAATAAGTTAAGACCAGCTGCAGAAACTTACGGGACCTTTGAGCAAAAATTATGACACCTAGCCATTGAACTAAATGAATGTTCATCAGGAGTTGATCTAACCAGAGGATACGGCATAATAATGGATGGTTATAATTCAATATCAGCTGCCTTCTTGGGGTAGTTGTCTTTATTACAATGGAGATGAAATGGCAATTATCAAAGAATTAATGCGATGGGGACGCTATACTCCTTCATCACGACACTGTCCAAACCGACATGGTCAATAAGAAAGTAGAAACTAACTAAACTAGCTAAAAGGGTCGCTGTTTTCTTTAGCAAATTGCATATGTAAGGTGTTTTTAGAAAGGAAAAAGTATCCTAGAATAACCCATCAAAGACTTGTTCGGAAAACCGCAATAAATGCTATTTGAATTTGCTTTAGAACCAAGAAAAACAGCACAGCTCACAAACAGCACCTAAGAGGCCATTTCCGATAACCCAGTGATTTCAGCTACATGGTTTGCTTCACTTGGAACAAATTTCTCAAGACGCCGCTTGCGGTAAAATTATTGGGTTTTTTTAAAAAAAAAGTCAACAAGAGAGATGAACTTTGACCTTCTAATATGGATCCTATTGGATCCCTCAGTACATCGAATCTCGAGCTCACGTGGGCCTTGCCGCATCAGACCACCGAGTTCGAGACAGCACTCAACAATCCCAGTTTCTCTCAAATATTAAGTATTAACCTCCCTATCTATCTTTACCCATCCAATAGCAACGAGCTCAGATAATCCAGTGCGAACAGGCCCACAGTAGCATTCTATTCTCCTCAAATCCCTCAAGCGACAATAACCAACCTGCTGGTCCCCACCTCTGACCGTCATACTGGTTATGTCAGATTGTAGGCCCAGTAACACGAATCGTCACTTTCCCAGAGCATGCATTTTCCCCGCATCAACTACATTCGCCCACACCAGATCCCAACCCATCTTCCAATCCCGCAATTTAAAAAAAAAATAAAAGAAAAAGAAAAGGTTCTCTTCAGGAATTTGTATGATGTATTTTGTGAGTGCAAAATAATGGAATTGAAATTGAAACTAAAGAGATGATTCATTGATTTGCTACTGTGCGCACCTCACGGCGAGTTCACCGAAGCGTTTGTTAGGCTGCCGTTGCCGGAGAACATGGAGGTCGCCGCCGTGGCAGAACTCAGTCAAGAGACAGAGCCATTTCGGCGAGTCGATACTAGCATAGAGCTTTGGAAGAAACGGATGGTCCAAACACTCCAAAATCTCCCTCTCAGTCCTCGCTCTACCTTCTTTACTTCGACTCGCCAATTCCTTCTTATCCATCACCTTCGCTGCGAAGAAACATCCGTCATCTCCAGCGGACTTGAGTCCAGCGAGGTAGACGGAGCCAATGTCGCCAGAGCCAAGACGGTGCGAGAACTTAAGGTCGGAGAAGGCGAGTTGGCGAGTAGACGATTCGGATCGGATCCGGCTAACAGCTGACCAGCAAGGGTCGGAGGAAGGCGCGTGAGGCTTGTTGAGAATGGAAGGGATATGAACGGAGGAGGAGGCGGTGAGAGTAGTCTCGGAGCCAGAGCTGGTGCTGCGATTAGTGTTGGTGGAGTTGAAGCTCAAGCTCTGTAGGTCGTCGGCGATATCGTCGTGAGAAGACTCCATTGAAGAGAGGGAAGAAGAAGAAGAAGAGGAAAAGAGCGTACGAGGAAGATGGGGGCGAGGGAATGATTTTTTAAGGGGAGATATTGGGCCGGGTCAGAGAAGCTAATTGGGCCCTATGTGGGGGCCCATTTCGGAAGGGCTCGATTTGCCTGAATTTTGGACGACTGGACCGGGTTCAGTAGACATCTCCAATCATATGTGCCGTATCTTCGGGGGTTTATTCGTAAATCACGCAAAATTCCAAAAATAAAAATAGGAAAATTACAATAAATAAAATATTTAAACAAAGACAACAAATTAAATTACAGAATATATTATTATTTCGCAATATCTCTCTCTTTAAGTAGAAAATTCTCACATATTTAATTACATAATCTTTAAAAAATAATTAAACTACAAAAATCTTTAAAGATCTCGTGAATTTAAACTCACAAAAGAAGCTTTAATAGCATTGTTGATTTTTTTAAATATAATAATTGTGAAATAATACATTAATTTCCTTATCTGTTGGAAATACAATTTAAATATTTATAAATTTTCATTTTTTTTTTTTCCAATTTAGATATAATTCAATTAATTAAAAAATGTATTTTATTGATCAAAATATGTAAAGGTCGATTTTTTCACCTCTAATTACTATTTAACTTTTAAAAAATCTACTGAATTAAAATTTTAAAAAAAATAATCTTAGAGAATAAATTATAAAATAAATTGAATATATGTGGTGAATATTTTGTCATTATCCGACTAAGAAATAAAAATATATGGAGAGTGGCAATTTCACGTAATAATGATGATGCTTAGGGGCAGCTATGTCTTTTTAGTTTTTTATTTTTTTCTCTTTTTGTCCTCTTCATGTTGATCGTTTTATTTATATGTTACATCACCATTTTTTCGCGGGGAATTATTTGATTGAGATGGGAGTTATTTTAGTTTTGTTTTTTGTCGCTTTATAAATATTTTCTCATAAAATATAAACCGCTTTTGGACCCAGCATCCTTATTAATACACCGCCTCATGTTTATCTATTTATATTTTCTCATAAAATACAAACTCCAAATCCACTTCGGCCAACATCCTTACTGATACACCATCTCGTGTCTACCCCCTTTCAGGGAACAGGCTCTTTGTTAGCCCATAATCTGGTCACTACCTCATGTTTATCCCCTTTCGTGGAACAGCCTCCTCGCTGGGCAGATATTGTTTTATTTGTGCTTTCCATTACAAGCTTTCCCTCACAGATTTAATAGGAGAAAGGTTTCCACACTTTTTTATAAAAATGGTGTTTTGTTATCATTTCAGTGATAGTTTTATATTATTAGTAAACTATTTTGTTCAGTTTATTTAAAGGTTTAACAAACTATTTTTATGTTTATTGTTGGAAGATTATTTAGAATAATATGAGTTTGAATTTAATTTATTTGATAATTATTATTTAAAAAATAGATGGTTAGATTATTGGCCGTTGAAGTAATAAAAAAAATTAACCACTTTAGTTGCTTTGTCTTTAACCAACAAATTAATCAAATAAAAAATTAAAGTTTATTTGACAAACACGTTTCCATTAAATATTTTAATATTGAAACTTAAATCTTACTTTAAATACTTTAAAATTAATTATCTTAAATTTCAGAGTGACGTGTTTAATTAATATTTAAAAAAAAATATTTGGGCGCCGAACAGGAACACAAGATCATTGCTTTTGTTGGGTTGCCACAGAATTTATAATAATATTATTTTATTTAATCGGTATTTTAATAATTCAGAAATAATACAAAAATATCAAATCAAGTTTGACATCCCGAAGAATTTAGGGTGGACCCCACGTGTCAAACGAAGAAAATATTGTACGGTTGCAACCCGCGAGTTCTCTCTCCCTCTCTAACTAGTTTTCTCTCTCCTATGCCGTTTTTGGCGGTGGGAAAGGAAAAGAGAGTTTACAGTCATGGAGTCGAGTTGGAGGCTCTCGTCTATGGCTCATGTTGGCGTTGGCTATGGCTTATTGGCGTGCTCTCTCGAATTCCTCGTGATTTCCTTTAGCGACTGTTCGTTTGTTCTCTCTTTCTTCATTCATTTTCCCCAACGCTAAAACCAAACCAAATCCCTCTATTTTGTTTTCTCTTTCGTTTTTTTTTTTCATTCGATCCTTGGCTCTTTTGGTTTCCATTTTCGTATTGCTCTGTTCGGTGTCTTGGAGCCGTCGGTTTCGGAGGCTTGGATCATCCCCGACGTTACGGTGGGCAAGCTCGGTGGGTGGAGTGGGTTGCTCTCGTTGCATCGTTTCGCTGGAAATTTATGGTAATTATATGAGAGTTTTGCGTTTTTAGGGAGAATAGTTGTTTTACTGTGGAAGATTGAATGGCATGAGTTGATTGAGGTTGTGTGCTGTTTTATTTCTGCTGTTTTGGATGTATTTATGTATGCTATTGTTTAGAAAATGCTGAGTAATGAATCCTGCGTTTTGGTTTTTCTTTTGTTCATGTAGACTTTTTGAGTATGAAATTTGGAAAATTGTATGGATAATGAAGTTCGCCATTGATTATCTGCAAATTGTTAACCACGAATGTATATCCAAGGATGAGATATCTGGTGACGATTCTTTAAGTCAAAATTGATGCCGTTGCCTGGTGTTTAAATCATGGTTTGAAGTGAAATAGTAATTGACAGTGATATATTTGTTTTTGTTGCTTTCTCATGGACTCTAACATACGGTCTAAACTTTCTTTCATAAAGTTTTTAATGATGATTTTTGGTTGTTTGATGATACAATATTCCTTCGTATTATATTGGATCTTAGTGTGATTCCTGCATCAATGGTTTACTGACATGAAATGGAATCCTGGCAGACTTTTGATGTTTCATCTCAAAGTTCTTGGAAGAAATATGCTGGTTGAAGACAGCTCAGCAAATGAGTATGGTTGAAGACAGCTTCGGGGGACATCTGGCACAACGTTTGATATCTGCATTGTGTCTTAGAAATAGTTCCTCAGAATTGGATTAGCAGTTACCATCAAGGCCACATCTTCTTGCTCCCGCTGGTGTTATTCCCAAAAGATGACTACATTAGCTAGTGCTTCTGAAATTGTTGAATCAACAGAAGAATTTGATTCTGAGAAAGCTGGGACAAGTTACACGATAGATGTAGGAAAAAGGTTTTCAATAGAGGATGACATTAATCGTCTGTTTCAGGCAATTGATATCAGAACATTATGTAACAGGTCAGGTCAGCAACATGGAGTTGATAAAGATGCGTTGCAAAAGAGTGCGATGAAGAGACCGATGAGAGTGGGTTCATCTCACATGGCAGGGATTGGAATTTCTGAGCCTGCAAGCTTAAAGCAGGCTTTGAGGGGCTTATGCATATCTCAGGCTGCTGCAAAGAGGTTAACAAGGTCTTTAGGTTCACCTGGAATCTCTGAAGCAGGAACTATTAAAAGGTTGTATAAGGCTGTGGTGGTTGAGGCCAGTGGATCTGATGTGCGAATAAATGAAAGCAAAGAAAATTTGGTAGAAATTTCCTTTGTTTCAGAAAGAATTATGTCTACTTTTCAGAATAAGATGCCTGAATTGTTGCATAAAACTGAGGCAGATATATCAAACCAGGGTGCTGAGTCTTCACCTTTTAAGAACACTGGGGTATCAGAAGAGGCAAATGTGGATAGATTGATGTCAAAGGATCTTGTAGAAGTGACAAGTATAAAGCCACTTAAATCTCCTTCCTTTACTCCTTCTGGTGAGAAGGATCTGACTCTGAACAGCTTGGATAATTCCTCAACTGAAGATTTGGCAAAAAATTCAGTGCCAGAGGAGAAAGGTACAATGCGTTGTTTATCCTCTCTATCAAGCTCTGGATCTGTTATTTGGCCGAACAAATCAGCTTTCAATAATACACGTTTCGTCAAACCTATTTTCAGGATCAAAAACTCTGTCAAGAAGAAAGCAAAACTTGAACCCATTTCCTCCCCTAGCACGTTTGAAATGCGTACAGTGATGGTTGACACTGATTTGGGTTCCATAGCAGAAAAGTTTGAGAACCGAATGCCAGAAAATGCCCAGAATCATGAGAGTAAAGAAAAAGAGATAGGTTCCTCTATCTCCAGTAGCACAACTTTAGGTATTGAAGTAAGTGCAAATCTGGTAAACACAGAGTCCAGTGGACCTGGTACATCTCTCAACTGCTGTAACAGGATCAAACCAACTATTATGCCATTCAATGAGAGATCCAGATCAAGAGAGAAAGGGATGTTCTCTCAGAGCTCTAAAAGTAGTAGTATTGGTGAATGTAGCCATAGCCCAAGCATCAGTGGGGAAAGCATTCTCAGTGGATCAAGTTGTAGTGGAGTAAGGCCTCACATGTCAAAGGACTTGAAATGGGAATCTATCCACCATATTCAAGATCAACATAAATGCCTAAGTCTGAAAAACTTCAATCTGTTAAGGAGACTTGGTCTCGGGGACATTGGGACTGTATATCTCTCTGAGCTATGCGATTCTAGCTGTCTATTTGCTATCAAAGTGATGGACAAGGAGTTCTTGGCAAGCAGAAAAAAAATACTTCGGGCACAAACTGAGAGAGAGATACTGGAAATACTTGACCATCCATTTCTCCCTACACTATATGCTCATTTTGAGACGGATGAGCAATCATGCTTGGTCATGGACTACTGTCCTGGTGGAGATCTCCATGTGCTGCAACAAAAGCAACCATGCAAGAGTTTCTCTGAGCATGCAGTCAGGTTAGATTGTGATTCTCTAATTAAGTGCCCCAGTATAATTACGCTTTTGTTTTCTCACACAATGTTAGCATGTACTTGTGCTGGAATTCTGTTCTCATGATGGCTAGTCATTTGATTTATGCATATATGAAAGTGTATGTTTACTGTGAATATTGGCAAGTTGAGAATGAAAAGAGACTAGGGGACCACCACACCACCATTTGTGGATGGGTGTTAAAATATTAAGGTAAAAGGTCGTTGAGTTTCGATGATTAGATTAAAAGCATGCTCTCATGTCTTTTCTGTTTGGTTGTAGTCATTGGTCAAAACATTTTGTTGGATAATGTGGTT